TCGTAAAGAATTTTTAAAGAATTCGGAAAGATCCCATCCGATTTTTTGCCGAATTTTCTAAAATGAAATAAATTACGCACACTTCCATTCTTTTACGAAATTTCGGAAGAAAATCGGTAAAGAAATGAAAATAATGCTGCTATGTGAAGAATTTCTTGCAGACTTTTTTCAGAATTTTCTTTATTTTTCGTACAGAAATTTCTTTACGAGTTCGTGTCAACCATTTCATATAATTTTCTTTGAAAATTCGTAAAAAAATCGTTACAGAAATCAGATACTCCTAAAGATTTCGTTAAGATTTCGGGAACTTTGGTTTGCAGGGTAATTTCAAAAGTTTGATAGTATTATCTTGTTTATTTTGCCTTAGTAGTTTTGTACCAATGCGTCACTTAATTTATAAAAGCAGATTTCAATTACAGAAGTAGGTACTATTGATGTAAATTATAAAAACTTCAGCCGGTCGGGTCTTGGGGTACTTGAAATATTTATCATGCCATAAATGGTTAATTATATGTACACATGTAAATTCTATACTGTAGCTTATTTTACTGATAAAAGTAGACATAATCAGTGTCTTTCCACGTGTGGTAAGAAAACCAATTTAAATTTCGTAACCGTCGACTCAAAGTCAAGATCGAAAATTATTCTTATAGAGCAGCAAGCAATGCAAGTGTAACTTTATATTTATTTGTTGAATTGCTTAGGTTTTATGCATACGGCCCAAGAAATATGCAGCCTCATTGCGTAAGTCGTAAATTAGGCTAAATTGTACGACTCGACAACATTGGCATTGTTTACTGTCGTGCTGAAATAAGTAAATGACGAAAATCGTCGAAAACTATACAGTGCTGCCAAGTTTTTTCCGTTTTAATACACTAGTCGAATGGAAATTTTAGGCAATGACGTGCAATTTGCGATACGATTCGACTCTAGAAAAACGACTTGCATACGACACCACTCTCGCAATGAGGGTGATGACCACACATTTAGGCCGATTCTGAACAGAAACTCCCTAGGAATATTCAGAATTGGGCTGATTATAAAACCAAATGGAACCCACATTGCATATGGGTTAATAAAAGTGGATTTGGAATTGTTAACAATTTAAAACTACAATCTAAAACATAACTGCCTTTAAATA